AACTCTTTTGGATTTGGTTTCGGTTTTTGGGTTTGAGTTTCGGGATTTCTTTGTACGCGTGGCTTATGTGGAGATGCCGCAGCATCCTGCGCCAACGGGTAATTACAGATCATGATTTATGGCCAGCTGACCCGGCCCCAACAAAAACAAAAGCAAAAGCAAAATAAAGGCAAAACAAAAATACGGGCACAAAACCAAACCATCGATCGATCAGTTCAGCTCTGTCCGCCCATTTTGGCCCCTTTGGGCAACTAAAAAACTCCACTGCAGATGCGTCGCTCTCTTCGGTTATTCGTTGGGCCTTTTCGCATTTTATGCAAATAAAACCAACGGCAGTGCAAAATCAGGCGAATGTGTTTGACAAAAGTCGAGAATCTCGAGCAACAACGCCACCGCAGAGATTGATGGTCCCAAAAGGCCAGAGGACTTCAAAACTATTTGCCGCCCTTCTTGCACACAAAGAAAAAATGGGCAGGGAATCTAGGATTGAAATAAAATATGTTATTATTGGTTAACAGATCAAATACGAAAATTAGCTTTCATAAAAAACAAAAAAGGTGTCTGTAATAAAAATTTATAGCGTTCTTATTAATTTTATAAATATTAGAAATATGAAATAGGATATACAAGTAAAATTTCATATCAATAAAAATCTGATATGATTTATGGCAAATTTATGATTCAAACAGATCAATTTGATATTTTATCATATCATAATAAATAAGATAAACATTATCTTTATTTATATGAAAATGATATGAATAACTAAATCTTTAAAAAAAATTCAAATTGACCAGCACATATCAATCTGATCTTTCGTTTCCTTTCAAAACTAAATAAATTTTTTTCCCTGTGCATCGAACTAATTGTTTGGTGTTTATGGGCAAAATACATATAATCCATCAAAAAACATCTCAGACGTTTCGCGCTACGTGTTGGGGAATTTCAATGCGAGATCTGTGTGCAAATTTCTTTATTTTTTTCATATCGTGTGATATCGTGCGATTTAAAGGAAAAGAGATGGCCAAAGATTGGGTTGTCATCGTTGTCATGGTTGAGTTTCGATTTTTTCAAGTGGCTGGCAATTAGGTTTTTGGAAAACTATTTTTCTCTAGTGCGAACTAAGACACGCCCAGTGGCAACTTGTTGTATGTTTATGCTGCCACGCTCTAATGGGATTATTTCTAGACCATTTCTGGGATAATCGCAGACTCAAGAACGTAATTGGGAGGCCAAAGGCGACGACGCTGGTGGTCGGTGGAAAGAAAACTAAATGGGAGGAGGAATTGCTCAGAAGGTGGATATACTTATTATTGGATTAGAGAAAACAGCAGAGAATATCATTAAAAATAAATATTTGAAACTATACAAATATCTATATTCATTAAATAAAAAAGCAAGTATAACATAAGAAATTCCTAATTACTTATAAACTTAAATTCAGCATTTTTGAAAAGACCTCAGGCAGAGGGAATAACCCAAGAAGATGTCATAAAAATTATTATGCTGATCCTGGATTTTAATTTCCAAATAGGCCTGCTAAATTCTAAAACAAATCGGGGCGACAAGGTGCAGAAAAAAAAGGGAAAGGGTTAATTTTCCGCGATTTACCAATTGTCCAGGCTCCGCATTTTCGCTTATTAGCGAGGCCCCTTTTTCGGGATTCAGATTCAGGTAATCCCCTTTTCCACCCGGCAGGTGGAATCTTAGGCCCTCTGGGCGAACAGGTCATATTTGAATAAGTAGGAGGGAAGTCAGGGTCACCAGATCTCCAGAGGGTCATAAAGGCGAAATACCGAAAAACTAGCGAAACGCAGGCTCTAGGAATTTCCCGGGCAGCGCGAAAACGTTTTGAATGATCGAAGAGCGAAGAGGAACGAGGAGACCCGCGGATCATCATCATCATGGGAAGGGAGGGGAACTACTTCTCCGACGAGGCGCCTACCTAAAACCAGCTGAAGAACCCGGGGAATCCAAAGGACAGACAGACAGAGTTATCACATTTGGTATGTAACTACATTTATCACAACCTAATATGACAACTCAAATAACTTTTGCCTGGCGGATTCGAGATTCGAGAGTTTCGCTGCTCGCTGCCTTGATTTCTTCTGGATGGCCGGCCTGTCACATTTGGCTTCGCTAATTGGAACATATTTCTCCCCTTTCGGCTCCCCAGATGATGAACGTTGTTTGGGCCAGCCAGCGATTTATGCATCCTCTCCCCAAAAAATATAAAGATATCAGATGTGGGGGTCTATAGCATCGTGTGTTCAATAGTTTTGAAAGTGCAGGGTCTAGAAATATGAAATTGGAAAGAATATTTGCTAATATATGTAATAATGTATTGGATTTAAATTTAAATATATATTATACATTTGTTTATAATATTTTTTCACTTGCCAAATAGTTTCGGTTCAAGTTGAGATTATACACTTTAGTTTTTTTTTTTTGTTTTCTCGAAAAGGGTTAGTGTGTGGGCGATTTCAACCCGAGGGTCCTGCATCAATAATTCATAACGCTAATTAATAACGCCCCAGTTCAAATGCGTTGCGTGCGCCGCGAGATGAAAGGCCCGAAATGCCGACATAACAGGATAATGAACCCCAAAAACGTTGGGCCTTATTGAAATTCAAATAAATCGGTAACGCTGAACGATGCCCGCAACGTTGCGCTGTTTTGATTGCCTTGTTCTGTTCGATATCCTAACTCTTGTGGTATGATACTAATATGGAGAGGTTGGGGAAAAAACTAACTAAATAATAATAATAAAAATATACCAGAAAGGAGAAATAAATAAATATTTGAAGGATTTTCCTGATTTATTGTTTTTAAATATTTGATATGAACAAATAAATATATTTACTGCAAAATGTTGCTATATTTATATTAAAAAGAGTATTTAAAACTTCGTATTTTACTTCCACCAATAATTCCTTGTATTATTTAGTTTGTGTTTCCTTGTTGGTTGTTCTCCTCTTTATTTTACTTTATTTTTTTCTGCTGGATATCGGGGCGTCTGCATCGCGCCTAAGGTGTAAAAATAAATGTTTCAAGTAACAACTTCTTAAAGAGCTGAATTATGAGCTAAGCTGCGACTGAAAACTGCGACTCCAGCCATCAATCTGGGGTCCTGAGTCCCCGAAACCTTGGAAGAACCTATAATTTGGTCAAATATCTGAGGCCTGATTGATGCAGGCGGCTGTTTTTAGTTTTTTTTTATGTGCCACAATGTTGCTGGCGTGGCGCGTCGAGAAATCTATTAAACAGCAGTTTTAATTCAAACCAAAAAAAAAATACTAACGAAGGCAGAAAACCGAAAGCAGCTGAAAAAAATGTTTTTTTTGTATGTTCTAGAGGAAAGGTGAAAGTTCTTTCGGCGCTGGGGAGCGTTAAGCCTTGCCTACAGTATTCCCAAAAAAAAAAGAGAGAAGAAAATCCCAGAACCCATTTCCATGATCCGAAACAATTGCATTGAGATGTCAAGTGTCAGCGTTGACATTGAAAGAAAGGATCCACGATCCCCGATCCCTTTTCACTTCCTTGTGGAGCATCCAGCGATCCCGAAGGACAATGCGATCCTTTGTCCGCGATGCCCTTTAATGTGTCAAAATATAGACTATAAGACTATAGTTCTCACAGGCGTTTTTGTTTTTCTAATGCAAAGTGATTTATTGTCTGGCCAGCAGAAGAGCAGAAGAGGTTTTCATTGCAACGATCTTCTGACATCTTGGTGCGTGGGAGCGAAGGATTTTGTTTGGATTGTGTGAGGAGAAAGGCTTTTTTCGAGAAATGGAAAGTGGTGCAGGGAACTATATTATAAAGCCATCAATTTGTAGGCAAAACACTCGAAACAAAGGTTTAAGTAGGAGAAATGCCAAGAGGAAAGACTCGAAAGTAAAATGGAAATTATAACACATGAAGACGGGATTATAACAAAATCCTATATATAGGATTTTAATTTTAGGTTTTACAGGGTTTTTAAGGAATTTACATTTAAAAATCTTGAAAATACTTATCTACATTTATACTATTATTTTTTTATGAGCAAATCTAACTATTTCTATTTAATAAATATGGAAAATTATTCCTTTAAATTTATACTATAAAAAAAAAACAGATTCGACCAATTTAACTTTTCATTTAATTATCTAAAAAATATATTGAAATATTATTCATTCCAATTTGTTTCTATAAGTTTAAATACCCCTATATCATCTCTCAATGGACATTTGTTTTCCGGGGAACTCCCATACTTGACCTTGACTGCATTTCTAGCGATTTCTAAACTATAACTTCTTCATTCCAAGGCCACGCCCATTTCCGCTTCTGAATTGAGAATTCAATTGAATTAGCATATAGCAGAAATGTTTGCGCTCAGTCAATTGCGATAAGGTTTGCCAGCCAACGAGCGTTACTCCCTCAACTTTTCAACTTTTGTAGCACGTGTCATTTGAAGTGTAGTTGTACTAGGTATGATATTTGGCTGATCTTACCTGCGGCAATTTGAATTTCCCTAGCTACCTGAAAGGGAAAGGGTCCACTGATCTGGGTTTAGTTCTATTTTGGATTAGTATTAACGCTTTACGAGGTCTTCGAAATGGATCCCATATAAAACCGATTCCCCAGCGATCTTCATTAGCGGTCGTATAAGAAGAACCCGCACATCCTGTCTTCAGGTTCTCTGCATTATAATGCCACCTTTTTCGATCTGCCTGTAGAATGCAATTAAAGTGCAAGTGCTACCCGCATATCTTACCAACTTGATTATAAGCAGGCTCCCCTTTTGAAAACCCCAACCGCCAAACTCCAAACATGATTCTCATAATTTTATGATTTTTCGCTTTATTTTCTTCGTCCAACAACTAATTAACATGTAATTGTATTTGCGCAAAAAAAAAAAGAGTAGTGATGTCTTGCTATAATTATTTTATAAATATATATTTGATACTGGTTTCTTGGTTCTTAATTTATGTAAAAAAAAATTAACTTATAGTAGGAAAAAAAATGTGTGTGTGTCTGCATATGAGTGTTATTTACAATTTGAGGCACTTGGTTCAACTCAACATTGACTAGAAGAGAACAGGAGGATGGTGGGATGTGTTTTGCAGGACCTTTAGGATTTACTGCTCCTGCCAGAGAGAAATGTAGTCCAGAATCTCCTCGTCGTCGGGCGTGCAGTCCTCCTCGTCCAATTGGAAGTGTTCGTAGGGCTCGAATTTCAGCTGGAGTTGCGAGTGACCATCGTTATGAAGATGGTGATGATGATCCAGATGATCCAGGTGATGATTGGACAGTTGCTGGGGAGCCGCCTCATAGGTTCCCGAATCGAAGGACATGCTGGAGTTGAAGGAGGAGGTGGGTGAGTGGCAGGTGGTGGTGGTCTGCTGATTGCTGGTAGTAATTGTTGCGCCTCCATTTCCATTTCCAGACAAGGAATTGCTATTCAAGGAGATGGCTGTCAGCGGTTGGTGGTTAAACTGTTGCCTCTGCAATTGCTGCTGTTGCTGGAGAGGATTAGCATTCGTCGTCGCTGAATTTTGATAGTAGGCACTGCAATTGCTGCTGCTGGAACTGTGGCTGCTGCACTCCTCATCTTCGTCGTCCTCCAGACAAAGTTGCAACTGGGCGGTGGAAACTCCACTCGGAGTAGAGGAAGATCCTCCGTTCAGATCATCCACCAGATCCTGAAGTCTGCGTATATACTCGACGGCAATGCGCAGCGTGTCCACCTTGGATATCTTCTTGTGCGGACCTCGACCACCGCCCTTGGTGAGATCCGAGATGATGGACTGTGGGATATGTTGGCGCAACCGGGCGAAGCTATTGTTCACCTGCTTCACCCGATTCCTTTCGCGAGCATTGCGTCGCTGGACAGACTGCGATTGGTCCACGTTGTAGGGAGCCGGCGAGGAGCCAGGCGATATGGATGCGGATGATACCGAATCGGAGGAGGATCTACCGGCCAACGCCATGCCCCTGGGCGTATACTTGCGGGTCTTGATGGGCATTCCACCCGGTTGATTTTGATTAGCCGATGGACTGGGAGCCGGCATTATGTGCTGATAGCGAAAGATCTTGGTCGCCGTGTTGATGGTGGTGGGGAATAGATCGTTGTTGTGGTTCGTCGTGGTCAGCACACTCGATGACATGGTTATTGGATTTTTATTTAATATTTTCTCATAAACACACACGGTTTTTATTTTTTATATTGTCAGTCTGAGTACGATCAACAGAAAAAAATATATAGTGTAATGAGGAGAGGTGGAAGGCTTGAACTTGATCGTTTGACACCTTGCACAAGAATGAGTCCCTTCGTCCTAAACCCTCACGTTATGTACCCTTGAAGCTAGAGAGTTTTCAGAGAAACCAGTGAGAGAAACGAGAGAAAGAGAAGGAGAGAGAGAGAGCGCGATTGAGCTACCTGGACAGGTAGGCGCAAAATGTGAGTGAGCCACAGGTAGTCTCAGTTGAAGGCTCTCTCTTTTTCTCTCTCTATCTTTTTATCTCTCAGGTACTCGAAAGTCCCCCAGGAAAACTGTTCCCAACAGAAGAATCACTCAAACATGAGTATATTCATACTCAAAATAAAAACTCGAAAAAAAACCGATCTTCTGAGTGCGTTTTGCTTTTCGCTGCGGCACGCCAGCAATTTGATTTCCGTGTTAATTAACTTAGCAAAAGTCGCGATCGCCAATTTCATGTGCAGCTCACGCACGCCCCTATTCATTAGCGCCGGAGATCCATAGGATCCTCCTTATTAGCCATGCAGAGTCAGGTCTGCGAAGGTGTTCGAACAATTTCACATATTCCTCTAATTAAATGATCAAAAGGATCACGGCTTTTTCACCCAAAACACGCCACGAACGAACAAAGACTCTCGAGAGAGATGTGACAAAAGTTTTCGGATGGCAAAGGGGTTACAGTGAGGATTGGTTTTCTTTTGTTTTTGTAGAGAGGTTATAAAATGTTTATACTTGTAAAATATTATAAGAGTCGCTTTAAAAGTAAAGATACACGTTTAAAATAATTTAAAAATGTTTAATAATAATAATACTTAAATTATCTTGTTTCATGTTTTCTACATGATTTCTTCTGGTTTTCTGCATAATTTGTACATGTTTTCTACATAACTTGTACACGTTTTCTACATACTTTCTCCATGTTTTTATTCTATCATTAAAAGTACGTGGAAAAATAGATGTAATAAATGATTAGTTTTCCAATATTTTACTTTAAACTGGGTAATGTAAAGATTTGTAATACTTTTACTATTCAATTTAAAGGCAAGATTGGCACAGATAACTTCATTGTTGATTTCAGGAAGCTGCCACTTCCGAGTGACCACTGTATCGATGCACTGGTCATCATCAGCCATTGACGATCGTGCTAAACGCCGACTGAGAATTGCAACTTCCGTTCTGTTCACAAAAGTCGCTTCATTTTGTCACGATCATCAATCGATGAGCGGGAAAAAGAAATGAAAAAAAAGAAGAGGGAGAATCGGCGGCGGCCAGGTGTAAGTTATATTTTTATTGTCCTCAACTCGTTCCCTTTGTTTGTTTCAGCCAGCATTTTCATTTTCCTTTTTGCCAAAATCATCATCATCAGTGCAGTGCCACTTCTCCATTTCCATTTGCCAAATCCCAGATCCCCCGAACCCAGAATCAAAATCAAAACCGAAACCAAAACGAAAACCGAAACCGAAAACCGAATAACCAAAAACCTTTTCAACCATGACCAGAAAAACGGCGCTTCTCTGTGTACTTTCCATATATATATGAATATTGTCCTTTGACAATTTCCATTACCTTTTTTGCATGCAGCAAATCTATACTCCTTTTTCTTCTATTTTATTTTTTTTTTTTTGCATTGTAATGCCGGCATCGGTAGTTGGTTTCCATTATTTTGGCATCATTAACACGTTCATTGTTCCCGAGAATGTCGCCGAATTTTTGGCAAGCCAACTTTCTATTCAAATTTTCGCATTTCCCCAGTTTTCCATTGTGGCATTTTGATAAATGCTACGGGAGAGAGTCGGGAAAACCAGAAGAAATGCTGGTGAAATGCCCAGAATAGGGTTGAAGTCCTGCGTCCTTTGTGCACTGGATGATCTATTGTGTTTGTCTGCGGATGGATAGTTGAAGTCTGAAGTGGAATGCATTTGCGCAATGATTGATAGTTCTGATTTTTGTTTCTGGTTTTCTGAAGTGGCAGCACCCAAGATCGGCAGAATCGTGTGCTCTTTCCTTTGTTTCAGCACCTTTGATCGGTCAAAAGTCAAATCCCGGCGAAATCCAAGGCGCTCACATGTATGTAAATCTCACTCGTGCCAGTTGATCTTTAGCCTCGATCATTATCCGGCGATCGTATCGGATTCTACCTGTGATTCTCTGTAATCTTTTCTAACAGACAAGTCTGTAGATTTTGCCAGGATAATGATCAAAATACAGTAGCCTCAGATCATGGATTTTGTGATCTTGCATGGATAAATATATCTTCGCTTGGGGATCTTAGTTTGAAATCATAATACTTACAGTTGTTTATAATAAATATTATAAATTATTTCAAATAAACGCTGTAAAAGTTAGGACGCTTGAAATATTAAAATAAAATTTAAATTTACGAGTTGTTTTTTAAGTTCACTGAAATGTGAATGTTTTAAGGTTGTAATCCTTTGGTAATTCCCCCCAAAAACAACCCGAAAACCCAGTGATAACCTGTAAATTTTGCGTTGCTCCGACGACGACCGGTAAACAACTTTTTTGTGCCACTTTATTTGTTTATATCCTTTTTTTCGGTCGGACTTGCAACGCTTGGAAGATTTAAATGCGTAATTACTTTGATATGAAGCATAGTTCCGGGCCGCGAAAACGGGAAACGGAAAGGACCTGTAGAAGGTGCGAGCGAGATGGAGAGCAGGGCGCGTGCGTTAATTGCGTGCGAGCGGGATAAAGCGATACAGGATATGTACTATATATATATATGTTGAATATCCTGATCGCCAGCGAGGGGCGACGCGTGCGTTTTTCCAACGAAACTTGAAATGCAAAAATGAATGTTGAATGTTAATTGAAACGAGTTCCCGTTGCCAGGACCTGCAGTATAGAAAGAGCAGGAGATCGACAGGGGAAAAAGAGAAAGATATATAGACTCTCCACGTGCCGCGTTCTTTTTTTACACTAAGAGAAATATATACTCTTATTTTTTTTAAATCCTATCTCTTTCATATTTACCAGAACAAATAGTTTTTGAAAGTAAAATACCTTATATATGTCCTAAAAATATATAAATCTTTTATTAACCTTGCTGAATAGGTAGTTTTGGGTCAAATTAGTTAATTAATATTTCAGCATAGTATTTTGGCATTCAAAAAATGTGTTTTTAACATTAATAATATCATTTCGATATCAATAGCAATTTAAAATTAAAACATTTTCCCCAAATAAATTTACTTAAAAGTTAATGATTGTTGAATTTTCAGTTTCTAGTGATATTTTTTGAGTAGTGCAGTCAGCGTGGCGTAGTTGTTGCTCTCTCCCCAACATTTGGCTCAGTCATTTTCGTAGTTAATATTTTAATTAAATGCAGGAGCAGGCGCAGGACTCGCTCCCTGCATTCCCCTAAAACCTAAAACTCCTTTGGATTTTTCTGGGCTATGGCGACGCGTGGCAGGTGTATTTAAGCGAACGAATTGGGATCGCGAAGGGAAAAACACTGGAGAGCTGAATGCGCCATGAATGGGGAAGGTTGGTTGGTTGGTCGGTGGATGGGGAAGCACACGGGCTTAGACTACCTCGATTTCTACCTTTCTTTCTCCGCTGCAGCTGAAAAATAAACGAGCGCGCAGCGCAGCACAAATAAAATGGAAACACACGCTCATTTGCTAGGGGTTGTTGCTGCTGCTTTTGCTTCATTTGCCCCGAGAGATGCATTTTCAGTATCTCGACGCGACGCCACAAAATAGGGGAGCCACAAGTCAAAGTCACTGCCAGAAGATACAAAAGACCGACGTGGATAAAGATACTAAGATACAGATACCGAACGGCAAGCGGCAAACGGCGAACGGCGCATTGAACTTTGCACGGCCCAAAAGTTCAGCTTCAGCTCGTCATGCCAAATCAAACAAAAGGGGATCGGATCGAGAGGGGCTTTCAGATTTAGCTTCCCTTTTTTTTTTGGGCCCGCCTTTTGGGGTTTCAGGGTAGTTTAACTTGGCCATAACGTTTGTTCCTTAGTTTTTGCAGCTGTTTTTAGGGAAGAGCCACTCCCGATCATCAGTTCTAAACTATAAACTGTGTACAAACTACAAAATTGACGATAGGGAGTGGCTTCTTCTTGAAATATGTCATGTCATCATTAGGAATTTGAAACGAAAAAGAAAACACGTCGCGGTCAAATCGATATGCGCATGGTAAATTTCTGGCATATAGTTTACGGGAGTGAGAGAAAAAACATATTCAAAATTCGAACTGGTTACATTACGAGCTTACATTTTGAGCATATCAGGTCTAAATTGATATCAAATAACGTAAAATCGATCATCGTTTCATGTCAAGTAACAAACTATAATGTTAACGTATATATATTTTGTTATAACCTATAAAATTTATATTAACTTATTAACGTTTACATTTTTGGTTCACAGAATCAACATATCAAAGTGATCTTAAGTGGATAAGATCAATCAGAAATCACCAATTCATATCGAGATATATATGAGGGCATTTCAAGTTCGGATTTCAAAGGCTTCCCTTTTGTTTTTCTTAGGGGTTTGCTGCTTTATGAGTAGTAGTCGCGGGCCAAAAACGGAGCCAAGTTAAGACTTTTGAGATCCAGACGAGGTTCGATAGACGGACGGCTGATAACTATCATTACTCGGAGAGGAGTGTGTTTTGTCCATGTGGATTCGAAATTCGAATATATATCGCCTCGCTCTGCCACGTTTCTCAATCCCCAGTCTCGTCTTTCTGCGGTCTCGAACTGGATGATCATTGGACCCTGCCCTGCCCATTGCCCATTGCCCATGGGATAATGATGGTCATGATCATGATCATTCGATCCGATCCGGAGGGAAAGAGAGGGAGCTAAGCAAAAAGGCAGTAGCACGCACCATTAGATGCGGTCAACATGGAAACATCTGCTCTTCTGTGTACTCTGTTTTCTTTGGGGTCAAAGACAATAAACGAGCGATAGAGACGGATATAGAGACGGCTGAGAAACTAAGAGAGAGATGGTGAATATAAAGTGGCGTGCGCCATTTTTTCCCCCATCGAAATGAAAAGT